AAGGATGTTAGTTTGACCGTTGCCACAGAATTTAAACTACTAGTCTTATTAACATATTGACCTCACGCGCGCGCGAAAATACCAGATGTCCCGCGGGGTCTCTTGTAAGCATAATTAGCAAGAGTGTTACACCTTTTACGCCTCGTTTCCACGCATCCAAATTCACGTGGGCACGAGGATATGGAGGGGCTCTGCTACATTCCTGTTTAAGGATTCATCGCATTCCCAATAGAAGGTGGTTCTGGTAACTCGCTAGTCAATTTTGGCTACGAAAGACAGGAATTAAAAAGTTGCATTTACAACAGTTTGGGATATTGATTTTTAAAAGACGAGTTCAACGTTCCTGAAATGGAGTTCTAACCTGTGTGACAATTTGATCTACAAAGCTCTTTTGATGAAGGGTCGTAAAAACTGAAGTCCCAAGAAACTAAATACAACCTAACATAAGGAGAATCTAGGGATCACACTGAGTCGATAAAAAGCTATCATATAATGCGCACTTTCCGAGAATAAGCAAACAGGTATAAATCGCAGAAATTAATTGTCAGTAAGGGTCACACTCGGGCCAGATCGATACAGATCAAACTGTATTTGTACCGGGTTCAAGGCCTCCACCCTGCCACCAGCGGGATTCGTTTCTCGGTAGTCCCGAGTTCAAATCCTCAGTCACGCTTTGTAAATAGCCAACTGGTCTGCCTCCTGCCAGTTGGGATTTCTAGCTATGTTACGTTTATTTGAAATATTTGTTTCCTTTGTTTCAGTGGCATGCCTGCAAGCTAGCTAAGCTTAGTGCTTGTATAGCTAAGTGCATGACCACTGTAAATAAGATTCACATTTTTTACATTTACATTACAAATTTCCGGAAGTGAAAATGCGTTCCTGTTTACTTTTTATGGCTAGAGTCACACCTGCATTACACTTGTTTGGTTTGGCAGTGTATTTCTTTGCACTCTATAAGACAAGTGACAAGAGGCTGCCCAGAGGGCCTTTGATTGAACACTAATCTCAAAACGAGGGCATCATAGTTTGATTGCAAAGCCACTGTAATAACTGATGTACTCATCAATCCGTTATCGCAGATTATTACTTTAATAATTTTCCAAAACACTAATGAACAGAATTCGAACGAGTGAATTAATAAGAAGCTTATTCACATTTTGTTAACGCCTGTAGGTTTTCTTGGACCGTTTTGTCGAGCGAGAGATCCAGTCATTAACTCTTCACTGTGTTAACCAGGAACAAGGTTGTGAGTGGAGAGGCGAGCTGAGGAAACGAGAGGTGAACTTTGTGAAGTAATTTTTAACGGATGTGCGACGTGACTGCGCCTATAAATATTCCATTGCGAAAAATCCCGCACTTCGTGTGGACGGTATCACTTATGTTCAGTTTTTAACTGAAATCCGGTTGTTATCATACAATTATATGCACGATAAATGTTTCGTTACTCATTGTGCTCATTAGATTTTAATTACTGGTAGCTTATGTTTGATTTTCAATGTATTGCGTTATTATCAGGTTCATGACGCTGTCTGTGAGTACGTGAAAGTACCGTGCGTTCATTCGGAATGTGGTGAACTGGTGACCAGGGCAAAGCTCGCGGAACACCTTGAGCAGGCTTGTCAGTACAGAATGGTAACATGTCAGTACTGCCAAGCTCCTGTCGTTTTCGCAGAAATAAAGGCAAGCTAACACCGACAAGTAAAAAAAAGAAGTAAAAAAAAAGCAGAAAGCAAAAACTAAAAACAAACAAACAAAAGCAACATAAGAGCAAATACACTAGCTACTGCAAATCGGCTAGATTGTATTTTCATAGAAGGCAAAAAGTCGTGCCAATTATGGAGGTACATAAAATATTAAGTACTCCTAGTTTCACCCACCTGATGACCATTACCCCGACCTGATGTTAACAATAATTTCGAGTACAAATATTTTAGCTAATATAATGTTTGCTTTATGCGATACGCTCTATTTGACAACATCAACCTTTACTTTACGAACCTACCAAGTGTAGCTCGCTACTTGTACAGACGCTTGTCACTTTGGTCAAACAGTATTGCTTGTACTTGTTTTTTTATGGATTCCTAGTAATGATGGCATGAGTATAATGTACTGGGTCGGGTTGTTGTACTGAACTGTTGGTCCTTCGCAAACTGTACAGAACGACCAACAGTACAATCAGAAAACCTCACCGAAAAGTTACAAACTAAAATCAAAAATCTTGCTAATCCTGGGAACCGTAAGCTTAGTCGGGCTTTGACCAACCCGGCCCTGTTCAGCACACTTTGATGGCTAGTACAGGAATTGATCATGTTTTTTTCTTGTACAGAAACACCAGGAAACTCAGTGTCCTTTGGTCTTGATTGTTTGCCCAGAGTGCAACAGGAAGGACATTCCTCTTGCACAGGTGAGCTCATCACCCATTTTAATTTACTAATTTTGTGCCAAGGTGGATACGATTGCGTTTCGACGTTTTTTAATGCAATGATTTTATCTAAATAGCTTTATTTACCTTCCAGCTGTCTGCTCATCTTGATCCAATGGCCGGAGACTGCGAAGAGATGCAAGCACCTTGTCCATTGACGCAGATTGGATGCTCTGAAACTAAAGTCTGCTTGTTACTTTTATTTTGATTTGTCAATTAAGCAATCACACCTCCCTATGGTACATGTGAGGCCTTTCAGAAATTTTGTTCTCGAGTCAAACGATTACTTCTGACAACCTGCTGTTTTACTTCGAATTTTCTAAGTCTTGAAGTTATCATTCAGCCTTCTTATAAATGATATTAGAAAATGAAAGTATTAAAGTCGCGCACGACTTCTATTCACGATTTCAGTCTGTGGTATCAGAAAACGATCGCGTACTGAGTAAGCGTAGCGAACTGGGGAGTGAGTCTTCCGATACAACTCAAAGAGTCAATAATTAAACGTGTAAAGCATTTTCCATGGTGGAATTTGTTTATTTTATTGATTTTTATTGGTACTGAGACTTTTCTCGTGCAAGGATTACAGAAAAGGGAAACTAAACAAAACTAGTTATAGATTTAAGTTTGAAATTAATAAACGTAAAACACTGGAGATAAGAAATTATCATTAACTGCATACATTTTACATTACATTACCTTATTGTACATAAATTGTGCTAATTCATCTCGTTTCTTTCTCTATCCATATCCTAGACCATGAAGCTGCAAGAAAGGAGGATTCATGAAGAGAGTGCCAGTGCTGGTCACGTGATGCTCCTCTTTCAATCAGTCATGCAACTCTTCTCTGTGGTTGGCAGAACCTTGCAGGGATCCAATCAAGTCACTGTCAGAGATTTGAATCTACCATCTCATGAAGAATTGGAGAGATGCGTTAAACAAGTGGAGAACGCATTGAAAGAGAACAAAGAGTTGAAATCAAAATTGTTGCAGCAAGAAAACCGTATTCGACAGCTGGAAGGCG